CAAGACATTATGCTCAAGTAATATTTGACAAAGGAGGCAAGAGCATACAATGGAATAAAGACAACCTCTTTAATAAATGGTGTTGGGCCCTGGCCGGTTTGGCTCAGCGGTTGGAGCGTCGGCCTGCGGTACAGAGAGACCGGGGTTCGGTTCCCGCTAAGGGCACATACCTCGGTTGCAGTTTGTCCCCAGCCCTGGTTGGTCATGCGGGTGGCAGTCACTCGATGTGTCCCTTCATGTCGATGTTTCTCTCTTTCTCCCCTCTTCTCTCTCCCTCCCGCTCTATCTGAACAAAAAATGGAAAAATGTCCTCGGGTGAGGATAAAAAAAAATAAAATAAAATAAAGTAAATGGTGTTGGGAAAATTGGACAGCTACATGCAAAAAAATGAAACTAGATCATTAACTTACACCATACACAAGAATAAATTCAAAATGGATAAAAGACTTAAATGTGACCCATGAGTCCATAAAAATCCTAGAAGAAAATGTAGGCAACAAAATTAGGGTCATCATCGCAGCAGAATTTTCACTGATACATCACCTAAGGCAACAGAAACAAAGGAGAAGATGAACACATGGGACTACATCAAACTCAAAAGCTTCTGCACAGCAAAAGAAACAACCACCAAAATGGAAAGGCAACCCACTGTATGGGAGAGCATCATTGCCAAAGATACATCAGATAAGGAGTTAATTTCCAAAATATATCGAGTACTCATACAACTCAACAAAAGGAAGACAAAGAACCCAATTGAAAAATGGGCAGAGGAGCTGAATAGACACCTCTCAAAACAGGATATACAAATGGCCAAGAGACATATGAAGAAATGCTCAACATCACTAATCATCAGAGAGAGGCAAATTAAAACAACTATGAGGTATCACTTCACACCTGTCAGAATGGCTACCATCAACAAATCATCAAACAATAAGTGTTGGTGGGAATGCAGACTGGTGCAGCCACTAAGGAAAACACTATGGTGTTACCTCAAAAAATTAAAAATTGAACTTCCATTTGACCCAGTGATCCCACTTCTAGGAATATACTCTAAGAAGCCTGAAACACCAATCTGAAAGAATATATGTACCCCCATGTTCATAGAAGCACATTTACAATAGCTAAGATCTGGAAACAGCCCAAGTGTCCATCAGTAGACGAATGGATAAAAAAGCTGTGGTACATATACACAATGGAGTACTATGCAGCTGTAAGAAAGATAGATCTCTTATCCTTTGAGACGACATGGAGGGATCTGGAAAGTATTACCCTAAGCGAAACAAACCAATCAGAGAAAGACAAATACCACATGATCTCACTTATTTGTGGAATACTATAATGAACATAACAGTCTGAGGATTAGCGTAGACCCAGAGACTTGGAAGTAGGGTAAAGACTGACAACTCTCAGAAGAGCGGGTGGTGCAGGGTGGGAAGAGATAAACCACAGAACTTATATGCATGTATGCATAACCAATGGACAAGGACAATGAAGCCGGGATGGGATGGGGGGTATGGAGAGGAGGGTGTCAATGGGGAAATAAAAAATAAAAAAATAAGAAAAATAAAACATTTTCCTGGCCTAGTACAGGTTATACCTCGGAAATAATTTGGGTTAGGTTCCAGACCACCATAATAAACCATATATTACAATCTTTTTGCTGGTGGAGGGTTTTGTCTTCCATTTGTAAAACAACTCAAAACCTGTGAAGTACAATAAAATGATCCTCAATACAAGGAATGGTATGCCTGTATATGAAAATCAGAATGAATTTTGCACTTATGAAATCCTGTTCTTTCTCATATTCACAGGATATAAGTATCCAATACCTTTGCAACACTCACGAGTCCAAATAAAAAACAACAGCGTCTTCTTTTCCCAATTAATAGATGGAGGGAGAAGAGACAGAAAGGCTGGACAACTTGCTTAGGACAGAGAATAAATGAATGTAAATTGATTGATTACTGGGAAGGTGATTCACCACATTCCCAGTCCAATTCTCTTAATTGCCTTCAAATTCCTAATTATTGTAAGTAAAACCGTGTAAGGGAGATAGAAATCTAACATACAACAATGTGGCTTCTCTAGTACCTTACTGGGCCCTTAATTCTATCCACAGGTTTCAACCTCTGCTGACACTGGGCTGGAATATTTAAAAAGAAAATACTCTCCAGGTGATGCTAAAGCAGTAATATTAAACTCCTGAGATAAATCAGATTTAGATTTCTCATTAAAGGAAGACAGAAGAAAGCAAGGTGCCATGAAAACCTTTGGTAAACCATGGCCCTAGGTTTTTCAAATCAATATTAAACTGTTGAACACATGTAGACCAACACTTAATAAAGTAAAAGTAAAAATATGCACATAGGTGTTATCAGAACAGAAGTTACATAACAACATACCAGACTGACAAATTCTCTTCAACTTTTTAGAATGCTAGATTGGCATCCTGACATCAAAGTGATGAGCTACAAGCACTGAAAAATGTGCCATATATTCACTGCATTTAAAACATGAAATAAACTGACAATATATTGTAAACTGTTTAAATAGCACAAATTGAAGAGAGACCATCTTTGTCTTCAGTCCGTGCCCTGAATGAATGCTCTTTGCACTTTATTTATTTTTTATCCTTACCTGAAGGCATTTTGGCTGCCACCCACACGACCCAATAAAGGCCGGGGAAAAACTGCAACCAAGGTAAGTGCCCTTAGTGGGAACTGAACCGGGGTCTCTGGACCACAGGCTGATGCTCTAACCGCTGAGCAAAACCAGCCATGGCTGCACTTTAGGATGCACTTCTTGGGGAAGATTCTGATTCAGTGGGTCTAGGGGTCTAAGACTGTATTTCTAACAAGCACCCAAGTGGCGGTGATGCTGCTAGTGGGTAGACCTAACTTGAATATTAGTTGTAAAATTAACCAATTGGTCTACAAATATGGTTATGTTTAGATTCCAGGAAATAAGTGTCAATACAATGTATTACTAGGAAAAGAAAAAACGTAGTGAAGGGGGAGGACAGGAGAAGGAGCAAGTGAATCCTTAAATACTTGTCTAGTCCAGCAGTACTAAAACCAAAGAATACAGGCATACCTCATTTTATTGCACTTCGTTTTACTGTGCTTCACAGATGCTCCGTTTTTTACAGATGGAAAGGCAAGATCTACCGCCAGCAAAATGATAGACTTGATTTATTATGGTGGACTGGAACCAAACCCACAAAATCGCGGAGGTGTATCTGTACTATTGCTCGTCCTAACCTAGTAGCTGTCAGTGTTGATGGAATGTAAACTCTGTGAAAGAAGGTGTTTTTTCAATTTACTACAGTATTCTTAGGGCCTAGCACACATTAGGTACTCAGTCAGTGTGTTGAGTAAATGAATGAACGAGCATAAACAAACTCAACCTGTATTTATGTCACAACTCAGAAACGTTTGGGAAAGGGGGCTATATTTGTACATACAGATGTTTGATACAAATAACTGACCCACTCATTGTAGTCCATTTGTCCTAAAAAAAGAAAAAAAGAAAAAAGAAAGAAAGAAAAGAATTTTCCAGACCAATTACTTCCAACTTGAAAGCCCAGGCTTCCCACTCCCTTATGTTTAACATATTTTTAGCTCTTTGAAAGCAATAAAGAGAGGTGAAAGCACAGGGAGGACTCAGAAAAGGCTCAGAAATCAATGGCGGGTTGGGGTGGGGTGAAACCCCTGCGGAGAGATGGACAAACAGATCAGTTCCAGTGAAGGAGCATCTTAAGTTGTCAGGAGTTCCACGTTCTTACCTATGACGGTGGCAGGGTTTGGGTTCGGGCTTTTATTGTTTTGTTACTGTAGAGGATCACTCGTAAGTAGTATCTAGTTGTGGAAACCCAGACTAAAGAAGCATCAGGCTCTGAAGTCAACCTTCAGAAGCTCTGGCGACTCAGGGTTCGGGATCACTTTCCCCTTCCCAGGGTCTCCCCCGCGCTGGGGAACGGTGCCGCTCGCAACACTATCCGGGCTGCGTCGCTGTCGGCTCGAAGCCGGCTTGAAGCCACTGCCAGGACTTAAGATGGCGGAAAAACACTAGTCGAAGAGCCTGGATATCGCACGGACTCTGCCCAAAAGAAAAATGGCCCCCTTCCAAGATCTCGCGGTTTCAAGAACCGACCGAAACAAAAACGGCGGCAAAGGCTGACTATTTAGAGCCTGTGAACGCTGTGAGTTTGATTGGCAGCTGGTGAGAGGCGGTTACGTACAGTGCTTGACAGCGGAGGGATTTAAAGACAAAATAAAATGCAACATTTCTATGGCAGAGTGTTGACACCGGATGCACAAGATGGAAAGATTCTTCGGAATCTTCAATTGGGAAGAATATAGAAAGGACAGCTTTGAAAGTAAAGGTTGCTTTTACAACGCGGGATAAACTTTAAAAGAGATTTAAACATAATTTCCACAATAAATTCCTTAGAATTGTAGAGGAGATAAAAGTTTTGTTCAACTAAAAAGCCACACTGGCAACCTTCACACCAAGGACTGAGCGTAGCGCGGCTGGAGCGCCACCAGCTCGCACTGCGCATGCCCTGCCTGCTTTCCAACCCAATCCAGAGAAATTATGATTCGATTCTTTTATCCTGGTTTTCACGGCAGCCATAAAAGGAGGGGAATTGGCGTTGAACGACAGAATCAGGAGCTTTTGTGATTGGTCAAATTAAAGAGGCCTGGGAGCCACTGAGAACAATTTTTTTTTCATTCATTCGGTAAGTTCCTCTTAAGCACACGCTATAAGGAAGCTGCTGTGCCAATTTGATATGATATTAAAATTTTCAGTTTCAACAATGTGCTGAGATTGATGCTGAATCCCCTCCCCCCCGCCCCCGAGTGCCGCTAGAACCCGGTCCCCTATTTTTTCCGCCAGGTCACTGCTTTCGTGGCTGAGAACTTCAGGAAAACCCGGAGAGAGGAATGTGAGCGGGAGCCGCGGGCAATCGCAGAGCTGCGCATGCTCCGTCTCCAAGAGCGGGGCGCGGGTTGCCAGGCCCCGCACTGCTTCGGAGTGAGGCTCGGCCTCTGGGGCCTGCTGGTGGCGGCGGCCTAGGGAGGCGCGGCGGCTGGTGGGCAGGTGAGAGCGCTGGAACCTCAGGTGGAAAAGACAGCTTTCTACTCGGCCGAAGAAAGGGGCGGGTGGCTTGAGGTGCCTCCACCCTCAGAAAGGTCACCGGTGTCCTTTCCGAAGGATATTTGGGGGCGGGGATAAGGAGGAGGCTGGTGCCTTAGAAAGCTAAAAACCTAAAAACCTACCTTTGAGAAAGCTTAGGCAGTAAAGAGGTCGGTGGCAGGCCTGTGGGTGGCGAGGGCGCGTTCCAGCAGTGTGGGTCGAGTCGGGTGCAGAGCCGCCTCCTCGCATTTGCATGGCCGCACGGGAAAGGGACGGAACAGGTGTTGCAGTGAAAGCACCGATCGAACCTGCGCTGCCGCCTTCTCGCCCGACTGTGTGACTCGGTCCCTCCTGTTTCGCGGGGACGGCACTATATGCCTGTGTCTGGCTGGGAGGTGGGGGCCGCCCTCTGATGTGGAAGTGGCAACAAAACTGTTGCACAGCGAGCGTGGTAGTGCCCACCGTGTGGACGCTGAAGCAGGACTCACGGCCCTTTTGGGGCCACAGTGTCGAAATCCGTTTGAGGTGGAGACCTGCTGAGGTCATGTTCATCTTTCTCTCAAAGTGGACCATGCCTAAAATCCTATTGCTGTTTTTAAGAGGCTCTCAATACTGGCAGTTTCATTCACTCATTAAAATCGTCGATCTATCCGTACTATATATATCGACTATGTAATATATGTGTATACTGTATAGTTTACATATGCTAAGTACATATGTATACTAATATATATGTATGTGCACACATTTATATATCCCACTGTGCTGAGTTAGCAGGTACAGCAGTGACCAGGGCAGGCATGATCCCTGACCACATGGAGCGTGTAGTCTAGTGATGGGAAAAGAAACAATAAACAAGTGCATTGATTAATGAACAAAATGTTTCCAGAGTCTCCTAGGTTGGGTTCCCTAGGAAGCAGGCTCTCGGGAGACTTGAGGACAAGACATTTATTAGGAAGGACTTACTAAGGAAGAAAGCAAGCAGGTTTGGGGTGGATAGACAAAGTTGAGCTGCTGTGCAGTCCCAAGGAAGGCCTCCCTTGTCTCACAGGAACACTGGTGCTGGGTTGGCCCTTCAAAGTTGTCCCAAGTTGAAGGGAAGGGCTAAGGCTTTATACCCCTGCACTGATTGGTTGTCCATTACTCTAGAAAGAGGACATAAGCTCAGCTCTCTTTTAGCCTGGTCAACCCTGGAGGGGGACTGACAACTGAGTGCTACTTCAGCACTCCCAGGAGCTGTGGAAGTGTCTCATTTTTAAGGGGGATTAGGGTGGCTCATCACAGCATCCAGCCACAGAAGCAGGGCTTTGAAGGTAATAGTGAGGTGTGCTGGAGAATAATGGGGGTGGGAGAGGGAAAACTTTAGAGTGGGAGCTCAGAGAAAGGCTGAGTAGGTAACATATGAACTAACAGCTGAAGCACCAGAATGAGCCACCTTGTGTAGGGCAAAGGGAACAAGACTTTACTTTCCGCTCTGCACTGAGAAGATAGCAGAGAAACAAACAAATGGCTGCTACCTTCTGTTGTAGTGAGTGGCACTTACCAGTCTTTATAGATATTGACTTCCTGATGTAACTAAAGATGGAGTAAGTAAAAATGGACTGAAACTAAATAAGAGGAAGGTAGAGAAGACAAGAAGTAGAGTTTTGAAAAATTAGTCGACTTGGTAAAGACTTTTAATCTATACAGTATTTTTTTTCTCCTATACAGCATTTAATTGTGTCTTATTAGGATTGTGCCTTTCTTTTCTCAAGCCTGTTTTCTCTGTGAGGACAGGAATCATGTCTTACTCATCTTAGTAGTCCCTTGCCCCCCTTACCCGTCCCCCTTCCACACCTCCAAGCCTAATGTTTTGCTAACACCTAATCAACACTAAGTAAACATGTGAATAAAATTAAGCTCACACATATTTGAAGTGAAAATCAATAATCCCTAAATGATGTAAACTTTATAAGTATGATTATATTTGGATCTGTCTTTACAGTATACCCCAGCTTTATGTTATAACCAAATATTAGTTGAAATATTAAATGATAATATATGATAGCTTTGGTCAAACAGGAATCTCCAAAGGTACCTATTTTTATATATGATTTGTATTAAAGATAATGTACTTCCAATAATAGTAATAATAATAGCTGCCATGTATTGAATACTTCCCACATATTAGACACTGTACTAATACACATATAAGTATATATGTAGTAACCTTCATTATGTAGCCCTATATTACAGATTATATAATTGAGGCAGGAAAGAATTTGCCCAAGATCATAACTAATTTGTGGTGAAGGTTAGAACTTCATTCCAATCATTACTCAAAGCCTCATCGTATTAGGACTCTCATATTTAATCAATAGGCAACTTTATTAACTTTTATCTAAGAAACAAATATGGAATTATTCACTGTGTTGGGTGTTTTGGTCTGTCCTTGAGTTTTCCTGTTGCCTTGCCAATTAGTTTTCTGACTATCACTTTAGAAGCTTGTCTCTTATCTTTTCTATAACATTGTGGAATCTAATTATAGGCCCACCTCGCTCTAATCAAAAGAGCCCCAAAGACCTCAGAACCTCTCTCTTGAGAATCTGGGTATTTTGATTGACATCTAGACTAACTGAAACTGCCCAGAGAAGTGGGCCTCTTTCATGGGGACCACTTCCCTTAGCCATTTCAGCCCTCTCCTGTTCTTGCTACCCTCCAAGTTGACCCCAGTAATATTTTTTTCCTTTTAAAATAATTAAAGTGACAATAGCTAACAATCACTGAGTCCAGACTAAGTGCCACATATTGTGCCAACTGCACAACCTTGTGATAAGGAAGTCATCATTTTCATTTTTCAGACGCTTGAAGTGAGGCCTCATGAGATTAAATGACTCATCTAAGGTCATACAACCAGTTGTAAAATGGTACGGTAGAGGCTGAAAGCCCAGGCAGGAGTCCACAACTCAACTCCTTATCCAGTATAGGACAATGCATTCTTACTAAAAGATTTACCTTCTGATGCTGGTACACAGGAACTAGATCCTGATGGGCTTTTTATGCTGTACTAAGAAATTTAGACTATACTTTCTAGTAAAAAATGTCACTGAAGACCTTTAAACAAAGCAGAAACTATCAGATTTATTGGGTTTTTTTTTTTTTTTGCAAGATAGCTGTGTTACTAGTGTGGAGGATTAGTGAGTAGACTATAGCAATCGTTTTCAAACTTTAGCTTCAGAATTACATAGAGAATTTGTTAAAATACAGATTACTGGTCCCCCATCCTAGCTAGCGTATCTGATTCAGTAGGTCGGGGCAGCCCAAGAATTTGCATTTCTAATTAAGTTACTAGCTCATAACACTTTGAAAACCACTGGACTAGAACTAGCCAGGAGGTCATGTGAGGTAATGAGGACTGTGACTGTGGGGAGAAGTTACATAAAAGTATTGCCGTGTCAAGTGGTAGGACTGTGTGACTGACCGGAGTGTGAGGAAAAGGGTAGAGTCCAGTGTATCCAGATTTCTGAATTGAATGCCTTGGTAGGTAATGCTTTAAAAAACAAACAGAAAATACAGATTGAACAGCAGTTTGGAAAGGAAAGAGATTCATTTTTACATGAGATGAGTTTAGACTCTGTGGCATGGTTAAGGTAAAGATGAACAATAGCAGTTGGATATATTAGTCTAAGCTGGAGATGAAGATGCAGGAGTCATTAGTGAATGTGTTATAATAGAAGCTTTGGATATGAATGAGACCACCCAGGAAACAAGAACACAGGGACAAGCCAACCAAGGACAGATCTTTAATAAGGGTGAATAGGTGGATGGAAACTGACGGGCCATTAAAGGAGACTGAAACGGAATAGACCAGAATCTCAAGTACTTAAAAGAGTTTCAAGAACACATCAAAATGCTTAGAGAGATCAAATAAGGGGAGAGATTGGTGATCTTTATAGTCAGAGCAATTTCCATGGAGAATGGAATGAAAGCAGATAACTTGCGTTTGAAGATGGAAGTGGGAAGTGACTCTAGAAAAAGATGCATTATTTGAAAGAAATCAGATTCTGTGGTAGCTGGAAGGAAGACTGATAAAAGGCAGTTGCTTTAGGGAATGTGTTCTTCGTTCTTTTCAGTGGAGAAAAATGGTCAGGTTATGCAGAGGAGGGAGATCCATTACCAGTGGGAGGTGAGGGAAAGGAGAGAGGGTAAAGGAGTTAAAATCTGTACCCATAGTAGAAAGCGGCACCAACTGGAGCATAGCAACAGCAGTACAGGTTCTTCCTCTGACACAGCGAAGAAGGAAGCTAAGAGATGAGCACTGTGATGGATAAGTGTTTACATGTGGAGACAGGTAGTTGAGAGGGCTAATACACAGTAGCCACAGTTTCCTCTGGCTGATAGGTTGGTTATCTGCAGAAACAAAGGTAAAGGGTAAAATAAGAAATCTCAAAAATGATGAATATAGAAATTGGCCCTTTAGAGATTCAGAGCTAACCAAGGTTACATCGAGTCCCTGCTATAGCGTCATGGGCCCAATCAACTGCAAATTTAATCTGGAACAGTCTGGCTATCTGTGATACCCACTGTCCTTCCCCCCCAACAAACCCCAGCATCTAATGGCAGCCAGGTATAAAAACAGTGAAGGAACAGAAAGATTTTTATACTACTCTATAAACTATAAACAACACTTCAACCTTTCTGATAAGCCACAGGCTGCCAGTAAACTGATTTTCTCTTCCTCATTAGTTACTAATCACTCACTCATTGTTCACATTTTGTATTGCCAACTATTAGTAAAGCTCCCAAATAAAACTCATGATGTTTTCAATATATTATTTATTTATAAATACATTGGTTTCTAGGTAGTGGAGGAGGGGGATAGCAGAGACCATGAAATACTTATGCATAACTGTTGACCTTCACTGTATTCTGACTACTTCTGACCCACCTCTGACCTGGCTGTGCTGTCAGCAGCCCAGCTACCT